CCGACCATGAGAACATCCCTCCTGTCTTCTCTGCGCATCGCAACCAACGTCCTACCTGCACAGGCGTCCGCATTCAGGAGACCAAGGAAAACCCAGATGCTTAATTACTCTCACCCACCTACTAACCCCCCTCCTCCCCCCCCCAAAACCACATGATTATATAAACGCTGCAATTAACCGTCCATTTTAATTCTCCATGTCATGTACCGGCCTGATGATGAATGACCGAAAACAATGGTTTGCCAATTCGACTTTTAATCGTAAAATGGGAATTTTTGGAGAACTACGAAGATTATAAAGAGTCGACGATTGTGTCCGACTGTGCACTATTATACCATTTTAATTATCGTGCACAAATATCTAAATAAGATGAAGTGAACTCTTGATTACAGCTAAAATGTTCACAAGCCTGGCGTCGTAGCTCGAAATCAGTAGAGCGTTATTTGCTTAATGGCCTTCTCTGTTGTGCAGGTTCGACTTCGGCAACGCCGCGAGTTTTATCACAATTGAGTGAACTAAAATAAATTGAATCTGCCAAAACCCCTTTACAATTAAGTAAGCCTCGTAGTCATTCTGGTGGATTCTAGATGATTGCTTAGGAAATTTTGCTTCGGCAGTTAGTTTGCTGTTCCGTAATGGTCGATTCCATACGAGCGGTAAGTTGGGCAGATAAAAGCGATCCATTTGTGATTAAATTCACAGCGCAAGGCATGGCGTAGTAGCTCAAAGTGGTAGACCCTTCGCCGCGTAAAGGCCTTCCCTGCTGTGCGGGTTCGACTCCCGCCGACGCTGCGAGTTTTTGTTCGCAATTGAGTCAACTCAAAGTAGTGTAAATAGGCAGATACGGGAAGTGGAAGGGACTTTACCTGTTCATGTCTGCCTTTCCTAGTTCTCCCCAGCGTGCTGGTGCCGCGGCAGAGCAACTGATTCACGAGCAACACAGGTCCAAAGTTCAGAAGGTCATCTGCATTCTCCACTACTTCTCCCGTGTGCTCGCTGAGGACGGTGCGCCCGCGGGTGCGATCACCTTTGCTCGCCGCTGTCTCAACCATCCGCCGGACTTTGAATCGAGCACTGTCCTGATTGGTTCCGTCCCGCTCAGTACTAGCTCCACGAGTCTCATTGAGGATGCCGGAAGCGACTGTTTGCAGGCGAGTATTACTGCAAATAGCTTGTAGCATATAACTAAGTGCACGCCTTATCAGACTGCTTTTGCTTGGCCAAACTACTGATTTAAACGAAACACGGGCTACACTGTCGCAACAAAACATGCATGCTTGGTGAACTTACAAGCCGCATATCAAGCTACAAGGGAGAAGTTCATTGTGTAACTTTTCAAGCAAGAATCTTTCTCTATGGTCAACATCTTAACTGGGTGCCTTCATAATCTGAAGCTATTTTCGTTACCTAGGGAAGGTTTATTTAAATCATTCGTATCTTAAAAGTTCCAATAATCGGCCATTTCTACTCTACAATGGCATACAAGATATATTTTTCTTATCTTTACCCAAAAGAGTTGCTGTTTCTTTAAAAAAAACATATATGTCTAAAATATTAATATAACTTTGTTATTTTTGTCTAACAACCAAGTTCTTATGATGTTTCACCCGGACTTATACTTCTTGTCATTCATTTGAATCATTCTAAATGGTGCAGGCCTCCATGTTACAGTAAGTTTCGACGAAGATTAGTGACTCCGAGTGAGCATAGATGCAGATATGATAATTGGTCTTGTCTCCCCTCACATTTTTACTGTCCAAATTGTTCTTGGAGTAATCGATCATATGAAAGATTCAGCAACCTCGGTGGAATTCGAACCCAAGCCAATAAGGGGATAAGGGTGTCTTCGTTTTACCGCTATTTCTGTAGAAAAAGGGGAACTGGAAGACAACAATAAATCGGTGTTTGATCACTTGCATGAGGGTCATGATGGAAATTCCTAAACAACGGGTGGATATCATAATTTAAAATTGAATATAATGTAGTACATTTTGGGTTGCCGAGTGGTCTATGTGAGATTAGTTTGAAATATAAATAGTATCCGGAAATGTCCAAAGTTTAGTAGACGAAGTGTACACCAGGCAGTTTTGCTCATAAAAACTGTCAGCGACAACTTTCTGGGATATAGGCGTCAACTAACGAAACTGAGCAGACTACTGTAACGCTATTCAGAGTACTGCCAATATCAGGGATATATGTTTCGGAAACCAATGAAACTGAATGTCAAGTATCAGCGAAGCAAGCATCCACATGTTTAGCCAGAAACTCATCTGGGCGTATGAGCTATTAGTTTCAATATGTCTACTTCTGGGGTTCGATTATGAACTTGCATATTATGCTTTCCTTCACTGACATTTAAAGACGTCAGCTGACAAAATGTATATAGGATTTTCTACCAAACCTCAAATAACTTCTCACAAGTATTTTACTCCAACTCCGCAAGAAAATTAAGGACTAAAGGTCAACGCTAAAACTGCTCTTAGGTATTTTTTCCTGACTATTGCCGCATATGCTAACTAGCTTATGAATAGAGAATGTTACTAGGAAAGCAATATCATTTAAATGATAATGTGTAATTTCACTGAAATTTGTTCCTACTGATGACTATCAGTTTCTTCACCTTTGGCAACGTTGAATTAAATTCAAGTGGGCAACTGTCCTATAGCATCCAAAAATATAACCGACATGTCTACTTAAAGCAGGAACTGCAGATGGTGCTTCCTAATGAAAGGTGTTTCCTATGCCAATCTACAATCTACAATGACAGTTTGTGAGCAGGCTTTTGCTGTTTTTGTATTGGTTGCACCACATTGCACAACATGTCACCACTAACCGACCTTACCAACAATCTGAAGAGAATGATCCAGAACCATTCACTTCTTCGAATAGCATATCACGTGACTGTGACTTTCGGTGTCGTCGCGTGTGTCACAAGTACGCTCAAAGCACTCTGCAGGTTTAGGCAGATAGTATTGCCGGCAAAAACAAGGCAGACTGACTGAAATGACTATTTCTGGTGCATTAGCCGTCATCAGCCAGCCATATGCAATCCCAGGGGTTGCCACCTCCGGCGCTCGAACCCGGGACCTTGTTAGTCCAACGCGATTACCACTGTGCCACAGGCTCCTTGCCTTTCATGTTTCGATCGGGAATGTTATCAGTAATAGAGGAATTCTCACCGATCAGTTACGTTAGTCACTCGTCTCCTTGGAACTCATGTTTGAGTCCCGTCATCAGCCGCATCCCAATACAATGAAACCTTGGGTAAACAGTTTTCTCAATTTCTGCACCAAGCCAGTCATGGGAAACACTCTTCTTGCGAAACTTAGCCAATCAAATTGCATCAGTTCATTGATTGGCTGCAGGCGACCGGGGACCCACGCCCTGGGAGGAAGACCCAAA